CTTTTATGAATAATGCTTAAAAATATCAACTGAATCACTATTATTCTTCTTGTACAGGTTTAGAGTATTTGTATGTGACACGTTGAAGTTTAGAAGTGTACTTACAATTTTCTTAGTATTTGTGTAAGGTCGCCAAAGCATTAAGATTTGCATAAGATTTAAGATTTCACAATACTTTTCTTTTTCTTGACATATCCCACATAATATTCAATATATTCGTTTTAGTCTAGTGTGCATAGAAATGGTCTGAAGTTAATAAAATATTTTATCAGCTCCATCAGATTGTTTGTATATTTTACTTTTTATTCTTTACTTCATTCCTCTTCATCTTATTTTTCTATTTTAATAGAACAATAGCATTAAATTTGAACTATTGTGTATGACTCATTTAAGTCTTTATGATAAAAATTTATCCTAATTCTCAGCATAATCTGCATTCACATATATCAATGATTTTTTATTCTGATACTGTAGAAAAAATTACAAAATAAGCTGTCATCTATAAATTTTATTATGCAAACGTCGAAATATATTATGAAAAATATGTTAAATGTCAGTTCAATTTTTAAAATACACTGTTAATAATTATTAATTTTTTTTTGTGTAGTTTATATACAGTCAAACATATGAACAACGGCCACTAACGAGAACATAACCTCCAAACAACGACCATTTTTATTAAGAAAATGGAAAATGACCGCTGTTTACAGGTTGCCCTTATTGGAGGTTCAACTGTATTTGCATTTAATCTTTAAGTAAATTAAAATTAAAAATTTACCATTTTGAAGAATTTTTAAAGCATTTTGTATAATATTTATTGCATTTTAATTAAATTATAAAAAGATAAATTATAAAGGATAATTATTAAAAATAAAATTGTGACTGATAATTATTATATATTAATATTCATTACTTTTCACTCCTATTTGCACAGTGTTTATCACAACTGGACAACATGACACTATCTGGACAATTATCCAAGGGTCAGGTTTATCAGGTTTCACTGCATAAAAAGAAGGCTCTACGCTAATGCTTCCATCCACCAGGTCATAAATTAACAGAAACTAAAAATGTGCACTTTTAATTATATAATTATATGTTTATATATTATAAAAATACTTTAATTTTGATTATTCAGCAATTAATTTACAATATTTGACACACTTCAAAAATGTTAAATAAATGAGTTTAATATAAATGTTTTAAACTATTTTAATACGTTAGTAAATTTAAAGTAATTTAATGTTTTCCTCCTTTGTATTGGTAGGGTTTGTATTGGTATTGTACCTTATTAAAATAATATTATAGATTGTATTAGCTAGAAATAAAATAGTAATAATAATAGAAATAAATAAAAATAAATTGTGCAAAAAAATATTTATCTTATGTTTAGCTAAATTGTATAAATTATTTTAATTATGAAGTCAAACCTCAATAACGGCCATCTTTCAACAGCGGACATCTCTAAATAGCGGCCATTTATTCAGGAACTTTTTTAAAATGCATATAAAATTAACACGAAACAATGGCCATTTTTTATGTTCCTCAGTGGCCGTTGATCAGAGGATTAACTGTATTCATCTTAATAATGATAAAAATAAGTTGACACATCATCCAGAATAGTTTTATTTACTGTATTTATTTATGTAATAGCTTCATGTTTTAATATGTGTCTTTAAAAATTACACAAAAGAGGGAGAAAGGAAAAAAAATATGTATATTATAATTAATTCTATTGGAAATTATTATTATTATTATTTTTCTTTTTTTGCAAAATCACAAGCAACATTTTTTTGTAAGATGACCTCAACAAATAAATCATTCAAACCAGATGCATGAACTCAAATGATGCAAGTTGTTTACATAAAAGTATACTAGTAAACCAATTTATTTTTCATATTCAAAAATTTGTCAAGTAAACTTCGAAATAGTTTTCATTTTAAATTTATTATAAGTATCAATAGTATTTTAATAAATTAAAACGTATAAATTTTAAGTATTTATGTTATTTTTTTAGTATTACAGTAGAGCGTCGATTTTCCGAAAGTCAATCATCCGAAAGAATTCCAGTCGGCAAATTTAAATTTTCGCCAGTGCTGTGGCGCTTCAATCTTTGTCTATGTCTTGGGCTACTCAAATATTTTACGTTTTTGATACTAAATTAACATCTGAAGTATAATTTTTTATTGTTTTTATATTTTTCAATATATTTATTTTGTTTGTACAAAATAAAAAAAATAATTTTTTACGATACAATAGTCTTCGTTAGGCTTAACATCGACGAAAATTCAACGCAAAGCGACACGCAACGGAGAAAAATTTCAACATCGGATACGTTAAACTATTTTTTCGTACATAAATCGGTTATCCGAAATATCAGTTATACGAACAACCCCAGTCCCCAATTGATTCGGAAAATCGACGCTCTACTGTATTTATAAATCATGATGGCCACTTTGTTGGTAAGTATCAAGAATAAAATGATAATGAAAATAGCAATAAATTTGTTGCTATTTTATTATAAACATTTAAATTTATTGACATGACTGTCTGATTTCTAAGGCTAATCCGAGCGATCGAAAAATCGCAGGAATTTTTTTGGGAGATAGTCTATACTGGATATGTCGGGCTCCGTCCCTTATCACCCGTCAACTCCCATTGTGTGCCTTTCGAATCCACGATGAAAAGGGCCTTCTTAGCGATCACAATACAGAAAGAATAATAATACAAAAACATTATTGAATTTGACATCAATAAAATTATCACTTATGAATTTGAATGAATACTTTTATGAATAATGCTTAAAAATATCAACTGAATCACTATTATTCTTCTTGTACAGGTTTAGAGTATTTGTATGTGACACGTTGAAGTTTAGAAGTGTACTTACAATTTTCTTAGTATTTGTGTAAGGTCGCCAAAGCATTAAGATTTGCATAAGATTTAAGACTTCACAATACTTTTCTTTTTCTTGACATATCCCACATAATATTCAATATATTCGTTTTAGTCTAGTGTGCATAGAAATGGTCTGAAGTTAATAAAATATTTTATCAGCTCCATCAGATTGTTTGTATATTTTACTTTTTATTCTTTACTTCATTCCTCTTCATCTTATTTTTCTATTTTAATAGAACAATAGCATTAAATTTGAACTATTGTGTATGACTCATTTAAATCTTTATGATAAAAATTTATCCTAATTCTCAGCATAATCTGCATTCACATATAATGGCATCAATTTAAATATTTAATAGTACAATAAATCGAAATATTTAATAAAATTAGAACTTTAATTTAATATATTTACTGTATATTAGAAATTAAAAAGTTAATTAAAATATTAATATTAAGTTAAAAATTGTATTCTTTTGAATTTAGTTAACTATGTCAATGTTTTAGAAATAAGACGAAACCCAGAAACACAAAAACTGCCATTGATAAATCAATTTTAAACTGCATCTTGCATAATTTTTCCTAAATATTTTTATTAAAGTAAAAATTATATAAAAAGTATTAAAATATAAAAATTTTTACGTTTAAACACGAGTATAAACGATATTTTATGTCAGGTTTTAAATTTTAACTTTATAATTTATTTGTAATAAATTTAATAATTCCATGATTTATATATAGGCCTATATATTTTTTTATTTATTTTAACTTTAAAATTTTTAATTGTAGCAAAATATGTCAATATTTAGAAACTGTTTATTATTTATTAAATAATATCAAGAAAAACTTCATTTATTTTTATATTTTAGCTTTATAAAGTCTTAAAGAAATCAAAATGAGGATATTTTACCTTAAAAAATACAAAGAAACTTTCCTTGCTTATTTTAAGTGTCGAAATAAAAAATCAAATAGAAAGTAACTAAGTGAACTTTAAACACAGCTGAGTACAGCAAGTATGTCAACACTTCCCTCTTTAAATATTAATTAAATTTAGAATTTATTTCATTTATTCAATTTATGTAACTCAGCACATCTGTTAACTGAATGAGACAGTATACAGATTTTTAACATGGATAAGATTAAAAATTTGGTAAATTAAATAAGTATATGGATTAAACCAATTCTAAGATTAAATATAAACTAATAGAAATGGGTCAAATCTTTAATAAAAGTATAGCAAACTACAGGGAAGTTTTAAGAGGAAAAACTCCATTCGAGCCTTTAGGGCTTCTTAAAAATCATATCCTCAAGATGTGAATATCCATTACACTGATAATAAATTCATAAAAAAAGGAAATAAATTATATATAGAATATAAGAATGCAATATAACTAATTAATTAATAATATTTCATAAAATTGTAGGAAACTTAATTATATTTCTTTCTAGACTTGTCATTAAATTGTTCAAATGATAGATTTTTTGATAAATTTGTACTACTATTCATAATTATATTGTATTAAAAAATATTTTGCGAAATAATATGTAATTATTTTATTTGATATTTTATAATAAATTTTTACCGGGTTAGAGAATAAATTTTAGATTTATAAAACATGAAAATAAACTTGTATTTAAAAAAAAATGTTTAAAAATTAAATATATCTTATTTTTTATAATTTAAATTAAATATTAAGTAATATGTATTAATTACAATTATAATTATCATTTTACTCCATTTAAATTCACTAAATTAAAAAAAAATTAAATTTAAATGCAAGTCTATGCCCAATATTTTAATAATTTAAAATGATTTAAAACTTAATTTAATATTAATTATAAAATTATTAATTAATTAGTTAAACAATTAAATTAGTTAATTATTATTAATTTAATTTAAATCTATAATGTTAAAGTTTATTTGTATAAGCTTGATTATGCATGTACCGTACGTTTTATAATTATTGTTAGAAATAGAAACTTAAAATATATTATTATTTATTAATTAGTTGATTAAACATTTAACTTATATATGGTGATTTTTAATTACAATTACATTTAATTTTTTCATTACAGTTTAGAGAAACCGTAAAAATTATCTCACGATATCGTTTATCGTTATATTAAACTTGAAGTATATTGGAGATAAAATATCATCGACAACACGAAAATTAGTGAAAGGATAATGTAAAATTGGAAAATTTAAGCACTTGAATAATAGAACACAAAAGGAGAGGAAAAAAAAGAAGAGAAATGGAAATTATTTTTAATTGCACAAACAAAATAAAATGTGAAATGTGAGGAATTATTATTATAATTTTTTTTTGAAGAATTGTTTAGAAGGAAAAGTGTTTATTGTGTGAAATCTCAAATCTGAATTGTTAAAAGTAACACGTGTTAACGATGACATCATAAAAAGTATTTGGCCAACGGGAGTTTATTGCGGAACAAGTGGACAAGTTTGTCATAACTTCAGGTGAACGCACAGGTAAGCCGGTATATTTCTTTATGATTCTTCCTACTTTAATCTTCTGCACGTATTTTTCATTAAAATCCGTTATATAATATAAATAATGTTCACATATTTCGAATTTTCAGGTATAATTTTATTTATAAAACTATAATGAATTATTATATAGGCCTACACAGAAGAAAATATAATAATTTTTATTTACTATAATGTATATGTTTTTTTTTTCTTTTCCTGAGCAAATGTCTTTTTATTTCTTAAAAGCATAAATTGATGATATTAAAATTAGGAAAATTATATTTATTTAAAATTTTTGCTCATATATTTAGTAATAAATCACTTTATAATTAATATTTTAAAGTAAATAATTTTGATATTAAAATTTATTATAAATACTATAATATTTGAAAAACATTTTTTAAACCAGGCTTTTTAGATTTTATATTTTGAATTTATGAATTTATTTATCGTTCGGTTATTTATCGGATAAAATATATTAAGTCAAGTACATAAAATTACCCATTCGATCAAAACTTAATTTAGTTTATACGCTATATCCGGCAATCATCCCATTCTTCTTCTAGGACAGAATTAGGATGCATATCGAAGATCAAGGAAAAATACAAACATATATGCTACAGATCTACCTACAGGCTTGAACCCACAGCTTTTATCTGTTTCTGGATTATTTATGGTTATATTATCGGCTTTGTACTTTGCATAAACAATCTTATATATTTAAAAGTCATTATTTATTTTTATTGTATAATTTCGATATATTTTTGCTTTGCTTTTTATCGTAATTTGTTTATATTGCGATAAATAGAATCTAAAGCAATATAATTATCAGAAGAAAGAAAAAATAATAATGATTTGAATATATTTTTTAACATTTTAAAAAGCTTTTATTCGTCATGTTTTTCGAGTTTGGGAATGAAGTATATGATGGGGGTAAGACTCTCACCATATATTTAACTACAGTGCATTTACTCATACATCATGATTAAATTGTACATTTGGTTATGTTTATCGAGTGGGGAGTATAGTGGGATGGATAACCCTCTAAAACATCATTAAAATCCATTGGCATTGTCATCGGACTTAGGTGCTGTACTATCCTGTACTTAATCAAAGTTCCAGCCTTCTATCTTAATTATTAATAGAAGTGGATTAAATTTAAATTGCAAGTTTTGAGGTCATGATGCAAAGCAAGTTAAATTTAAAAGCGTTTAATAATAATAATAATAATAATCAAACGAAATTCCGCTGTTATAAATTTTATTTTGGTAGAAGTAAATTAATAGTAAATTAAGAAAAATTATTATTGAATAAAATATGTTTTCATATATAACGATATTTACTACAAAAATTGATGATAATTATGTAAAATTATTATATAAAAAATATTCATTTGATTTTAGATACAATCGATTATGAAGATTAAATAAAATTATACTTTTCATTTAATAATTTATAGTTATGTAAAATATTGATGGCCGAATGGTCGAGGTTTATGGCGTAAACTTATTTCTCTGTGAGATTGGGAACAAATCCGAGTATGCGAAAAGATTAGTAATTTTTCGGGGTAGTCTGCCCTGAATATGGCTGGGTAATAATCCCTTATTACCCAGCCATTTCCATTATGGATCTGGCCGAACCCATGATGGGCATGATCAAACGTAGCCTCTTTGGGGCGGAAAGAATAAAGAAAAAGTTATAAAATATTATATTTTAACATTGAGAATACGATTTACGTGCATTATTTTGCGTACTAAATTATAATAATAAGAAAGTTAAAAAAGACATAGACCTAATATGAAGAAGATAATTTATACAATAATAAATTATTTAATTATAGATTTATGGTAGATACGGAGCAGGATTTGCACATAAACTAAACAAGCTGCTGCTTAAGGGCCTATCATTTTTATATGTAGGCTATCAGTATTTAGTGGAGAGGAATGGTCTTAATGTTAGAGCTTAGGCTCACGACAAGCAATGCAATTAATTGATTTAATGTAAACAGATTGTTAAGCAAAATCAATATAATAATCACAATTTTGATGTCATTACAAATCTGTTAAAATATTTTGAAAATGGATAGGCTCGTGTATTAGAATTTGAAATACGAAGATATTTTAATGAAGAAAACTAGACGTAATTACATTAATTAAATTAATGCTACTCTAGAATAAATATTTATCGATTTTACTTAAATTTGGAAAAATAAATATTCTATAAAGATAAACCTACATTTTTTTACAAATAAAGAAAAATAAATAAATAACTTTTATCCTAAGTTTTATTATTTATTTACTATGTAAATCGAAAAATATTTGCAGAAGAATTGAATTTCATTAGGTACTTATGAATTTATTCATTTTGAATTCAATTTAAAAAATATATATACTGTATAACTAAACAAATAAAAGTACATATGCGGTTTATAATTACAAAAAATTAATTTTAGCAACCTAAATTTAGTATTTTAGATGTTTAGAATCTGGACTGCCCAGGCAGTTAAGGCCTCAGTCTACCGTTCTGGGTACCGAGGATTTGATCCCGGGTCTTCAAAATGCAGTGATTTTTAGGGTGCACTGTGATAGGGACCCATCTTTCACCACCCGTTCGGCCACATTATGGACCTGAAAAATGCACTCTTAGTGTCTTTTTCAGGTGCTGATAGTATGAAAAATGAAGAAAGATGTATAAAATTAATTAATTTTTATATAAGTATGTTTTGAATTGTTAATTATTTAGTTTCTACTTTCTAAACAAAATATTTTGAAATGTTTTATTGCTTAATACGACGTACATTTCAAACTTTTCTTATGTTTTTTCCCCCTTTCTATAGAATAATGGCTTTCGAGAACAGTATTGTGTCAGAGTTTTACAATGACAAATGCATCTTTATAACAGGTGCTACAGGTTTTATGGGAAAAGTAAGACATATGTTTTTTTATTTTTTCAATTTAATTGCATAATTTTTAACGCTAACGAAATTTATTAAAATTAACTTTAAAGGTTATGTTGGAGAAATTATTAAGAAGTTGCGAAGGTATTAAAAATATTTATGTTTTGATGAGACAAAAGCGTGGAAAGAGTCCACAAGACAGGATTGAAGATCTGTTTAACTGCAAGGTAAAATAAAAAGAATTAAGTATATATTTCATGTATTTTTTATATTAATTAAATATCATTTTATTTTTTTAAGGCATTTAGTGTTTTAAGAGAAAAAAATCCAGATTCATTTAAGAAAGTTATTATGGTAGCAGGTGATATTACCAGTCCAAATCTAGGTCTTTGCCAATCAGACATTGATTTACTTGCTGAAAATGTGAATATTGTATTCCATTTGGCTGCTACTGTTCGATTCGATGAACCGTTGAAGTAATATATTTTTTAATTGTAGATTTGATATTAATTTATTATTAATTATAAAACTTTAATTAATATATTTAAGATTGTAATATTATATAGGCAAGCCATGAAAAAAAATGTACTTGGAACGCGTTATACGCTTGACGTTTGCCAGAAATTTCCACATTTAATGGTAAGTGATAAATGACATATCTAAAAGCTACATTAATTTTTATGATGTACTATAGTTGTATAAGTTTATACCTAATTAAATGAAAAATAACTCAATTTTTAATATTAATTACTTAACAAAATAGCAATTTTTATAATTACAGAAGTCGTACAACTGCTAATTAATGAATAATTTGCTATTTTAGGCATTGATTCACGTGTCAACTGCTTACTGTCATTGTGACAGAAAAGAGATTGAAGAAACAATATATCCAGCTTCAATTAATTTACAAAAAATTATAGATATTGTTGAGTATGTACTTTATAATTCGATGTAATTTTAATATGGAAAATATTATAAAATTTATTTATATATTATTTACAGTTGGATGGATGAAGATACAATAAATGCAATAACACCGAAATTAATTAGTGGAAGACCTAATACATATACTTATACTAAAGCATTAGCTGAGAACCTTTTGGAAGAGGAATGTGGACAATTACCGGTAGCTATTGTCAGACCTTCGATTGTTTCTTCTTCTTGGAAGGAACCATTTCCTGTAAGGCTTCATTTATTATTTATTTCTTAAGCATAAGTTTGAATTAGTATAGGGAAATATTTTATGAAATAACTGTGAAAACAATCAGTTATATAATCAACTGAATTTTAGAATATTAAAAATTAGTTATAATTAAATAATTTAAGATTCAAATAAATTAATTGATCGATGAAGTATATTGTTGAATATTTTGTTTTACAGTTCTTTATACATAACACTTGTGTGGAAATATAATAACAAGTAAAGCATTTTTCCTTATATATATATAATGATAATTACATCAAAAAACGAATATAAGGAAAGATAATATTTCGGAAAATGTTAAATAAATCAAGTTAATTATAATAATTCATAGTGCTAATGATAAACTTTTAACAATATTTACTTAAACATAAATTAGCCGATAAGGAAAATTTTGCAGAGAGCAATGTATCTTTACCCGGTTTTATTTCTTCACTTAATCAGCGTTGAAATATTGGTTTTTTATACTAGGAAATATTTTAACTACGCTAAATTGTTTTGCTTAATTGTGTTTTGCTATCTTCCAAAGATAATTTATAACGGTTAAATATTATCTTTATTTGCTTATAATTTTGAGAAATTTTAACAATTGTTTTTTTTTTTAAACAAATTTTAAATAAAGTTTAAATATTAAAAACATTCTTAAAAGGAGGATGTTTATTAGTCTTATTCATTTAGTTTCTTCTTTTGTTTCTGTAACAATAGATCTTATTTGTCTCTTATATCGTTAAAATATGCGATTTTGTTGAACTATACAATTGATTTTATACCAGGTCTATCTTATCGATTATATTAGACCCACTTTACGACTAGTATAAATTTGTATTATCATTGTAAGGAATTTCGTATTTTTGTTGGCCCTCTAGGTGTAGTATTATAAGTCTGAACTGCTAGAAAAGCTATCTAAATTTACTAGACTGGGCTTATAGCTTATAGAACTGCTATCTTAACGATAGTTACGTCGTAAATACGGAATATATGTTATTATATAAATATAATTTCTCTATTAGATCTGGGGGACCTGGGATCGAATTTGAGAACCCGAAAATCCCAGGAATTTTAGGTCTTTCATGAATCCAGTCCCTCACCATTTGACAGCCCCCATTGTAGGCCTGGCTGAACCCATGATGGATAAGGAAAGAAGGCCTTCTTAATGTCCACAAGCCAGAAAGAGTTAAAAATAAAAATATACAGTATAGCCTATTTATTTAGTTTTAGTGTTTCTACATACAGTATTGTATATATTTAATATATTAATATTACGTTTAGGCGTGATACAAAATATTTTAACACACGTGCTGAGATATGTCTAAAATATTTTAAAAATAAATGTCATTGTTAACATTTATATACCTTTCTTATATAATATGTCTTTCTTCATCTATTATTGAAAATTATACAGTTTCATTTGAATAAAAAATATTATCGAAGTGAGATACTACAGTTATATTTTATAACTTTGCTTCAAAAAAATATTGAATCTAAGTTTGCTTAATATGTTTTAGTGGTACTGTATCAGCTCTAATGATACAGTACTAATTAAGTTACAAAAGAAATAAGCCATTGACATTTATTTTGAATAAATAAAAATGACTTAATTATTTATATGTATTTCTGTTATAAGCTAGATGCACGTGTTCAATTATTTAATGTAAATAGAAGTACATACTGTGTAATTAATTAATTTACTGAATTTGCCCATTTAAAAAAGACAAAAGTATGTATTAATTTCAATAAACTTTTTAAAACTTGCTTACAAGGAAAAGCGACTTCTTAATACTTCAACACAAAACTTAAACCTTAATCAATGAATCTGTATGCTTATTTTCTGTGATGTTTTCGAGAGGAATGTTCTTCCATCATCAGCGTTAAACGAAACAGTTACAGTGGTCGAATGGATGAAACCACTAAACACTAGTAATTGGTTGCGAGTTCGTGCCTCGCCAGCTAGCCCCTTGGAGTTTTCTTCGTGTATCTAGCATCTGAATAGGACGTATCCGGTAGGAAATTCCCAAAGAAATTCCTCCCAGGAGGCACTTCTTCCCCTTAGTAGATCACCAATACGAGTATGTTAGATCACCCAGATCGTTGCCTTATCCCATCAATCCTACAATCCAGATAGATACCATTCCATCAGATTAATGACAGAATTTTAAAACTATAACTGTAAAAAATATTAACGTTAAATATCCACAAAGAAATTTTAGAATAATAAGATAAAAATAGGCTTTCGAAATTATTACTCAAAAACATAGCATTCATTGAAATACAGCTTCTGCGACTTAATTCATTCCTGGAAAACCGTCGTAAAACGAACCTGTTCTATTTCCTGTAAGTTCAATGTCACAAATTGAGATTATGTTCCTGGAAGTAGTCTTCTTTGCATAATGTCACCCAGTTTAAAAAAAAAATATGAAATTTTATACTCGACGTAAAAGTGTGGAGTCATAAAAGAATCGGTCGTAAAACGAGGTATATAATAAACTTATCTTCATTAAAATATCAAAAATTAGCAGATTTTATAAGTATTCAAATCTNTTAGAGAATAAATTTTAGATTTATAAAACATGAAAATAAACTTGTATTTAAAAAAAAATGTTTAAAAATTAAATATATCTTATTTTTTATAATTTAAATTAAATATTAAGTAATATGTATTAATTACAATTATAATTATCATTTTACTCCATTTAAATTCACTAAATTAAAAAAAAATTAAATTTAAATGCAAGTCTATGCCCAATATTTTAATAATTTAAAATGATTTAAAACTTAATTTAATATTAATTATAAAATTATTAATTAATTAGTTAAACAATTAAATTAGTTAATTATTATTAATTTAATTTAAATCTATAATGTTAAAGTTTATTTGTATAAGCTTGATTATGCATGTACCGTACGTTTTATAATTATTGTTAGAAATAGAAACTTAAAATATATTATTATTTATTAATTAGTTGATTAAACATTTAACTTATATATGGTGATTTTTAATTACAATTACATTTAATTTTTTCATTACAGTTTAGAGAAACCGTAAAAATTATCTCACGATATCGTTTATCGTTATATTAAACTTGAAGTATATTGGAGATAAAATATCATCGACAACACGAAAATTAGTGAAAGGATAATGTAAAATTGGAAAATTTAAGCACTTGAATAATAGAACACAAAAGGAGAGGAAAAAAAAGAAGAGAAATGGAAATTATTTTTAATTGCACAAACAAAATAAAATGTGAAATGTGAGGAATTATTATTATAATTTTTTTTTGAAGAATTGTTTAGAAGGAAAAGTGTTTATTGTGTGAAATCTCAAATCTGAATTGTTAAAAGTAACACGTGTTAACGATGACATCATAAAAAGTATTTGGCCAACGGGAGTTTATTGCGGAACAAGTGGACAAGTTTGTCATAACTTCAGGTGAACGCACAGGTAAGCCGGTATATTTCTTTATGATTCTTCCTACTTTAATCTTCTGCACGTATTTTTCATTAAAATCCGTTATATAATATAAATAATGTTCACATATTTCGAATTTTCAGGTATAATTTTATTTATAAAACTATAATGAATTATTATATAGGCCTACACAGAAGAAAATATAATAATTTTTATTTACTATAATGTATATGTTTTTTTTTTCTTTTCCTGAGCAAATGTCTTTTTATTTCTTAAAAGCATAAATTGATGATATTAAAATTAGGAAAATTATATTTATTTAAAATTTTTGCTCATATATTTAGTAATAAATCACTTTATAATTAATATTTTAAAGTAAATAATTTTGATATTAAAATTTATTATAAATACTATAATATTTGAAAAACATTTTTTAAACCAGGCTTTTTAGATTTTATATTTTGAATTTATGAATTTATTTATCGTTCGGTTATTTATCGGATAAAATATATTAAGTCAAGTACATAAAATTACCCATTCGATCAAAACTTAATTTAGTTTATACGCTATATCCGGCAATCATCCCATTCTTCTTCTAGGACAGAATTAGGATGCATATCGAAGATCAAGGAAAAATACAAACATATATGCTACAGATCTACCTACAGGCTTGAACCCACAGCTTTTATCTGTTTCTGGATTATTTATGGTTATATTATCGGCTTTGTACTTTGCATAAACAATCTTATATATTTAAAAGTCATTATTTATTTTTATTGTATAATTTCGATATATTTTTGCTTTGCTTTTTATCGTAATTTGTTTATATTGCGATAAATAGAATCTAAAGCAATATAATTATCAGAAGAAAGAAAAAATAATAATGATTTGAATATATTTTTTAACATTTTAAAAAGCTTTTATTCGTCATGTTTTTCGAGTTTGGGAATGAAGTATATGATGGGGGTAAGACTCTCACCATATATTTAACTACAGTGCATTTACTCATACATCATGATTAAATTGTACATTTGGTTATGTTTATCGAGTGGGGAGTATAGTGGGATGGATAACCCTCTAAAACATCATTAAAATCCATTGGCATTGTCATCGGACTTAGGTGCTGTACTATCCTGTACTTAATCAAAGTTCCAGCCTTCTATCTTAATTATTAATAGAAGTGGATTAAATTTAAATTGCAAGTTTTGAGGTCATGATGCAAAGCAAGTTAAATTTAAAAGCGTTTAATAATAATAATAATAATAATCAAACGAAATTCCGCTGTTATAAATTTTATTTTGGTAGAAGTAAATTAATAGTAAATTAAGAAAAATTATTATTGAATAAAATATGTTTTCATATATAACGATATTTACTACAAAAATTGATGATAATTATGTAAAATTATTATATAAAAAATATTCATTTGATTTTAGATACAATCGATTATGAAGATTAAATAAAATTATACTTTTCATTTAATAATTTATAGTTATGTAAAATATTGATGGCCGAATGGTCGAGGTTTATGGCGTAAACTTATTTCTCTGTGAGATTGGGAACAAATCCGAGTATGCGAAAAGATTAGTAATTTTTCGGGGTAGTCTGCCCTGAATATGGCTGGGTAATAATCCCTTATTACCCAGCCATTTCCATTATGGATCTGGCCGAACCCATGATGGGCATGATCAAACGTAGCCTCTTTGGGGCGGAAAGAATAAAGAAAAAGTTATAAAATATTATATTTTAACATTGAGAATACGATTTACGTGCATTATTTTGCGTACTAAATTATAATAATAAGAAAGTTAAAAAAGACATAGACCTAATATGAAGAAGATAATTTATACAATAATAAATTATTTAATTATAGATTTATGGTAGATACGGAGCAGGATTTGCACATAAACTAAACAAGCTGCTGCTTAAGGGCCTATCATTTTTATATGTAGGCTATCAGTATTTAGTGGAGAGGAATGGTCTTAATGTTAGAGCTTAGGCTCACGACAAGCAATGCAATTAATTGATTTAATGTAAACAGATTGTTAAGCAAAATCAATATAATAATCACAATTTTGATGTCATTACAAATCTGTTAAAATATTTTGAAAATGGATAGGCTCGTGTATTAGAATTTGAAATACGAAGATATTTTAATGAAGAAAACTAGACGTAATTACATTAATTAAATTAATGCTACTCTAGAATAAATATTTATCGATTTTACTTAAATTTGGAAAAATAAATATTCTATAAAGATAAACCTACATTTTTTTACAAATAAAGAAAAATAAATAAATAACTTTTATCCTAAGTTTTATTATTTATTTACTATGTAAATCGAAAAATATTTGCAGAAGAATTGAATTTCATTAGGTACTTATGAATTTATTCATTTTGAATTCAATTTAAAAAATATATATACTGTATAACTAAACAAATAAAAGTACATATGCGGTTTATAATTACAAAAAATTAATTTTAGCAACCTAAATTTAGTATTTTAGATGTTTAGAATCTGGACTGCCCAGGCAGTTAAGGCCTCAGTCTACCGTTCTGGGTACCGAGGATTTGATCCCGGGTCTTCAAAATGCAGTGATTTTTAGGGTGCACTGTGATAGGGACCCATCTTTCACCACCCGTTCGGCCACATTATGGACCTGAAAAATGCACTCTTAGTGTCTTTTTCAGGTGCTGATAGTATGAAAAATGAAGAAAGATGTATAAAATTAATTAATTTTTATATAAGTATGTTTTGAATTGTTAATTATTTAGTTTCTACTTTCTAAACAAAATATTTTGAAATGTTTTATTGCTTAATACGACGTACATTTCAAACTTTTCTTATGTTTTTTCCCCCTTTCTATAGAATAATGGCTTTCGAGAACAGTATTGTGTCAGAGTTTTACAATGACAAATGCATCTTTATAACAGGTGCTACAGGTTTTATGGGAAAAGTAAGACATATGTTTTTTTATTTTTTCAATTTAATTGCATAATTTTTAACGCTAACGAAATTTATTAAAATTAACTTTAAAGGTTATGTTGGAGAAATTATTAAGAAGTTGCGAAGGTATTAAAAATATTTATGTTTTGATGAGACAAAAGCGTGGAAAGAGTCCACAAGACAGGATTGAAGATCTGTTTAACTGCAAGGTAAAATAAAAAGAATTAAGTATATATTTCATGTATTTTTTATATTAATTAAATATCATTTTATTTTTTTAAGGCATTTAGTGTTTTAAGAGAAAAAAATCCAGATTCATTTAAGAAAGTTATTATGGTAGCAGGTGATATTACCAGTCCAAATCTAGGTCTTTGCCAATCAGACATTGATTTACTTGCTGAAAATGTGAATATTGTATTCCATTTGGCTGCTACTGTTCGATTCGATGAACCGTTGAAGTAATATATTTTTTAATTGTAGATTTGATATTAATTTATTATTAATTATAAAACTTTAATTAATATATTTAAGATTGTAATATTATATAGGCAAGCCATGAAAAAAAATGTACTTGGAACGCGTTATACGCTTGACGTTTGCCAGAAATTTCCACATTTAATGGTAAGTGATAAATGACATATCTAAAAGCTACATTAATTTTTATGATGTACTATAGTTGTATAAGTTTATACCTAATTAAATGAAAAATAACTCAATTTTTAATATTAATTACTTAACAAAATAGCAATTTTTATAATTACAGAAGTCGTACAACTGCTAATTAATGAATAATTTGCTATTTTAGGCATTGATTCACGTGTCAACTGCTTACTGTCATTGTGACAGAAAAGAGATTGAAGAAACAATATATCCAGCTTCAATTAATTTACAAAAAATTATAGATATTGTTGAGTATGTACTTTATAATTCGATGTAATTTTAATATGGAAAATATTATAAAATTTATTTATATATTATTTACAGTTGGATGGATGAAGATACAATAAATGCAATAACACCGAAATTAATTAGTGGAAGACCTAATACATATACTTATACTAAAGCATTAGCTGAGAACCTTTTGGAAGAGGAATGTGGACAATTACCGGTAGCTATTGTCAGACCTTCGATTGTTTCTTCTTCTTGGAAGGAACCATTTCCTGTAAGGCTTCATTTATTATTTATTTCTTAAGCATAAGTTTGAATTAGTATAGGGAAATATTTTATGAAATAACTGTGAAAACAATCAGTTATATAATCAACTGAATTTTAGAATATTAAAAATTAGTTATAATTAAATAATTTAAGATTCAAATAAATTAATTGATCGATGAAGTATATTGTTGAATATTTTGTTTTACAGTTCTTTATACATAACACTTGTGTGGAAATATAATAACAAGTAAAGCATTTTTCCTTATATATATATAATGATAATTACATCAAAAAACGAATATAAGGAAAGATAATATTTCGGAAAATGTTAAATAAATCAAGTTAATTATAATAATTCATAGTGCTAATGATAAACTTTTAACAATATTTACTTAAACATAAATTAGCCGATAAGGAAAATTTTGCAGAGAGCAATGTATCTTTACCCGGTTTTATTTCTTCACTTAATCAGCGTTGAAATATTGGTTTTTTATACTAGGAAATATTTTAACTACGCTAAATTGTTTTGCTTAATTGTGTTTTGCTATCTTCCAAAGATAATTTATAACGGTTAAATATTATCTTTATTTGCTTATAATTTTGAGAAATTTTAACAATTGTTTTTTTTTTTAAACAAATTTTAAATAAAGTTTAAATATTAAAAACATTCTTAAAAGGAGGATGTTTATTAGTCTTATTCATTTAGTTTCTTCTTTTGTTTCTGTAACAATAGATCTTATTTGTCTCTTATATCGTTAAAATATGCGATTTTGTTGAACTATACAATTGATTTTATACCAGGTCTATCTTATCGATTATATTAGACCCACTTTACGACTAGTATAAATTTGTATTATCATTGTAAGGAATTTCGTATTTTTGTTGGCCCTCTAGGTGTAGTATTATAAGTCTGAACTGCTAGAAAAGCTATCTAAATTTACTAGACTGGGCTTATAGCTTATAGAACTGCTATCTTAACGATAGTTACGTCGTAAATACGGAATATATGTTATTATATAAATATAATTTCTCTATTAGATCTGGGGGACCTGGGATCGAATTTGAGAACCCGAAAATCCCAGGAATTTTAGGTCTTTCATGAATCCAGTCCCTCACCATTTGACAGCCCCCATTGTAGGCCTGGCTGAACCCATGATGGATAAGGAAAGAAGGCCTTCTTAATGTCCACAAGCCAGAAAGAGTTAAAAATAAAAATATACAGTATAGCCTATTTATTTAGTTTTAGTGTTTCTACATACAGTATTGTATATATTTAATATATTAATATTACGTTTAGGCGTGATACAAAATATTTTAACACACGTGCTGAGATATGTCTAAAATATTTTAAAAATAAATGTCATTGTTAACATTTATATACCTTTCTTATATAATATGTCTTTCTTCATCTATTATTGAAAATTATACAGTTTCATTTGAATAAAAAATATTATCGAAGTGAGATACTACAGTTATATTTTATAACTTTGCTTCAAAAAAATATTGAATCTAAGTTTGCTTAATATGTTTTAGTGGTACTGTATCAGCTCTAATGATACAGTACTAATTAAGTTACAAAAGAAATAAGCCATTGACATTTATTTTGAATAAATAAAAATGACTTAATTATTTATATGTATTTCTGTTATAAGCTAGATGCACGTGTTCAATTATTTAATGTAAATAGAAGTACATACTGTGTAATTAATTAATTTACTGAATTTGCCCATTTAAAAAAGACAAAAGTATGTATTAATTTCAATAAACTTTTTAAAACTTGCTTACAAGGAAAAGCGACTTCTTAATACTTCAACACAAAACTTAAACCTTAATCAATGAATCTGTATGCTTATTTTCTGTGATGTTTTCGAGAGGAATGTTCTTCCATCATCAGCGTTAAACGAAACAGTTACAGTGGTCGAATGGATGAAACCACTAAACACTAGTAATTGGTTGCGAGTTCGTGCCTCGCCAGCTAGCCCCTTGGAGTTTTCTTCGTGTATCTAGCATCTGAATAGGACGTATCCGGTAGGAAATTCCCAAAGAAATTCCTCCCAGGAGGCACTTCTTCCCCTTAGTAGATCACCAATACGAGTATGTTAGATCACCCAGATCGTTGCCTTATCCCATCAATCCTACAATCCAGATAGATACCATTCCATCAGATTAATGACAGAATTTTAAAACTATAACTGTAAAAAATATTAACGTTAAATATCCACAAAGAAATTTTAGAATAATAAGATAAAAATAGGCTTTCGAAATTATTACTCAAAAACATAGCATTCATTGAAATACAGCTTCTGCGACTTAATTCATTCCTGGAAAACCGTCGTAAAACGAACCTGTTCTATTTCCTGTAAGTTCAATGTCACAAATTGAGATTATGTTCCTGGAAGTAGTCTTCTTTGCATAATGTCACCCAGTTTAAAAAAAAAAATATGAAATTTTATACTCGACGTAAAAGTGTGGAGTCATAAAAGAATCGGTCGTAAAACGAGGTATATAATAAACTTATCTTCATTAAAATATCAAAAATTAGCAGATTTTATAAGTATTCAAATCTGTCATTAGAATAATTAAAACAAAATTAATTAAATTATTAATATAATAAATTACATATAACAATAGTTTACATAGTAAATTTGAAATATCGCTAAAAGACCTTTATTGTTATTTTATAAAAATCTAAAGGCATTTACAAATGATCATTTTATAAATTTAGCATTGATTTAAGTGAAAATGAAAAATAGAAAAATATTAAAACACTTTCAAAGATCTCTTTTATTTTTATAAACTAAAAACATATTTTATTACATTTAATTTAGAAAATATTTAGGCTATACGATTTAATTGCGTCTCGTAAGACTTTATTTAACAACACTTATTAATTTAAATAATTTGGATAATAATTAAATTAATAAAAGGAACTAAATATTCAACAATTCATGATTTTTATTTAATTATTGAACATATCAATATAAATATTCTAACGTACAACTTAATTTTCCACACATAGATTTCTTCCTGTACTCGCTTATATTATACATATTAAAATTATCGAAATTAGAGATAATTGCTTTCTATATAGGCTAATCTATAATATACAGTCGACCCCCATAACACTGACGATAATTCCATTTTATATGAATTCCATGTTGTGGGAGTAACTTAGATTTTACAAATACACATGTATTTGTAAAATCTAAGTAACTCGTACAACATGGAATTCATATAAAACGGAATTATCGACAGTGTTATGGGGGGTCGACTGTATTGTGTAATTTTATGTATTTGTATTTATATAGACTACTAATATAACTTAAAAAACAATATTTGAAATTAATATTCAATATTCGTTTAAAATATATCGTTATAAATGTTCAACATTTTAAAATTAATTTTTAAAGGAGAAAATATTTTGGAAATGTTATTTAGGATTTTATTAACTGGGAGAAGGCTATTTATAAAATTATATTGTATGATTAGCCTAATAATACTTTACAAATAAGTAATTAATATGGGGAAAAATAAATGTTTAAATATTTTGGTATGTAATTAATAGAAACCAAGAATAATAAATATAATGAATGTTTAAAGTGTTTGATAATGCTAAATTTGACAAAACTGTCCTCAATCCGAAATTTGACTGCTATCCTCTAGCCTTAAGCAAAATTGTATCGTCTTTATAATTCACCTAAAGGTCTTCGGCCGCAGAATGTAGAACAAACTAGAAACAAAAACCAGTTAGTAATATAACTACAAGGTTAATCACCTTTTATCAACAATTTAATTTTACAAGAATACAAGAATAGATTGTAATTTAAGTTTCTTTTTTTTTCTATGTAGGGTTGGGTAGATAACTTCAACGGTCCAACAGGAATTATAGCAGCTGTAAGTATTTATTTTTACATTCTGTACGTTATGAGCTATGTTTTTTATTTGTAAAATTAATTTATAGTTAGTTATAAACAGAATTTAGGGAAAAATTAATTAATTTTCTTAGTGCAACTAAAAATATTTCGGTTATCTGATGACAGAATTAACGATACTTTCCTTTAAAAGTTTCACTCTTAATGATTCATTTAATTATCGATATATCATGAAATTTGTTAGTCTAATAATTTTATTTAAAATATTTTAAACAAATTTAAAAATTAATTAAATTTATAAAATATGTATTAATACGTAAAAACATATTTAGCTTGTTTAAAAAAATTTTGAAAAAGTTATTAATACAAATAATTTAATGTATATTTTTGGTAGAAGAAAAGACAAAATTTTATAAACTAAAAACTATTTAAGATAGTATTGAGCATATCTATCAGTGGCTAAAGCTCGATTCCCGAGCTGCACATGGCCACAGTTCAAGCAGACGTGTAAAGCCGTGTAAAGCTTTAAAAGAAATAGCATCAACCAAGAAATAGCAGTCTCATGGTACTATTATCATCCCGTGTTATGTTGTATTACCAAATAATCTGCCTTTAGCAGTACTGTATAGACTTCTTAAGTGCTGCTCTTGAACTATGTCTAATTGATTATCCTGATTTATACATATGTGGAACACATATTTAATTTATTGATCATGCATTACTAGTTGCTTCAGAGCTTATTCTTAGGAATTTAATAATCACAAATTTTTATCAATTATTTTTTGTTCAAAATTTTTTGTATCTCAAATTATTAGGTTGTTTCTTTTTATCTAATGTTTTATTTCATGTGTGATTTGGGTGTTTTCTGTCAGCTATCTTCAAAATAACGTTATACAGCTGTTTTGAGAGTGGTTATTTTCGTTTCTCGTTCTCGTATGATTTGACTATCCATCAAAGATATTAAACTTATATATATATATATATATATATTATTAATATTCTATCTGATAACAATTTCTGATGCGTTTATTGCGTTTTATATTATTAATTTCTATTAGTATTAGTTAGTATTACTTTCTGAAGTAGTTATTGTTAGTTATACTGAACCAAAACATGCAAACATGCATTAAACCCCCTATACGCAACTGTGAAATAATGAAGCAGATACAATTCCGCTTGGTATACTGTACATGTATCGCCCGAAAACAAATAGCGAGTTAAAAAGTACAACCATAATCAACACTATCCATTGCAGAGAGATTTTTTGAAAACTCTATTTATATGAATTAATTAGATCCTAAATTTCAATTAAAACTATAAATTGGGAGGATAAAATTGACGTAAATATTATTATAAATAATTTAATATTGAATGTTTTACAATCACTGACTAAACTATAATTCATTTTTCTTTTATTTTATTCTCAACTTTGTTATAAAATTTTAAATATCGTTTAAGTACTATTCATATATTTTTCGATTTTTTTCGTATTTTTTATGATTCTTAAAATTTTTTAAAATTTATATCACTTCTTTGCTTTCATTGACTAATTTAACTCAATTACAATGCAATAAAAATGAAATTTTAAAGACTTGTACTATAACACAAAATTCATATTTTAGACCGTATTTTTAAATATATTTTCATAATTCTATTAATTGTTTAAGATATTTGAAGAAATTAATTGTATAATTCATATTAACGTTGTAAATACTGTATGCAGAAACAGGAAAATAAATCGATTTTAAAAGTCAATGGAATATTACACGTAATAAATTTTAAATTAAGTTAAAAATATACGTATAAATAACAAGAAATTGACGTCAAATGTTAGGCAAAAAAATAAGGAAAGATGTTGCAGATAAATGATAATATTGTTCAAATGCACAATAGATTAATTATTTAAAATATATTAATTGCCTGGAGATATGTACTGTACTGAATAAGGAACTATAACAAATTATCTTATTTAAAAATTTAAAGTACGATTGAACTTTGTAAACATCTAAGAGTCGATCATTAATAAAATATGTAATTTACATTGTTTTTATGGAAAGACAAAATTGAATTTATAATTTCTCTTATCTATTGTTAAATTTTCTTCCTCTTCTATTTCTATGATAAAAGATGAAATGGAAATGATTTGACTCATAGATTTGGATCTTATCTGAGTGTAATTTTCTCTTGTTTACAAAATTAATGCTACTAATTTATTTTGTTAACAGTGAACCGGGATGGTAACAATCAATACATTTTTTTATTGAATTCAACAAATTGGATTAAAACATTGTTCATACAAATAAAGTAAGAAAAATATCAAAAATGAAAATTTTTATTGTTTTAATTTTCAATAAAAATTAAGTTTTACAGAAGTATAAGTGGACAGAATTACATTTATCGGATTTTTTTAATTGAAAAAATATGGAATTTATTTATTTATATTATTTCTATGTGAAATTGTTTCTGCTTACACTTTTTTTTTTTAAAGCTTTCAACTTAACAGAAACTTAATTTAAGAATATTTCTCGCAACATTTGAACTTATTTCCACATGTTTCTTAGAATAATGTTAAAGTTAAACATAATAACATTTATAATTACGTTCTAACAGTTCGACTTTGTAAGCGAGAGAGAATAACGATGATATTTTTAATCTTTTTTGCTTTCTAATTTTCTAAAAATTGACCAAACTTATTAACAGTAATTCTTAAAAAATATTGTTACTGGAATTCAATTTTAATTTTGTTTAGGTTATATATGCTTAGATTCATTGATATCTAATAAACCTTGTCATTAGGAAAAGTTCATAAATTCATAATTACCCTGAACCAATATAAATGGTTCAGAAACAGAAAACAATGGACAGGTCTAAGGATTGAAACCGCACTAGATAGACATGGGAAAAAAAAGGCTCAACAAGTTCAATCTGCTATATTAAAGATGCGAAAGCGAGAGAGAGAGGGAGTCAATTAAAAATACATATTAAATTTTATTAATATTTCAATTCAAAAATTTTCCCGTGAAACGAGTTAGATAAATGACCGACATGACTCTATCGTTAACAGGAAAAGTATGATGTACAGGGGCAAGAATTACTAAAATCAAGAGCATTGTGACGAAAATTTGCAGCCCGCCATTGTGATGAAATCACAATAAATAATTGCTCCTGTTGATCTTTGTTTATTATTTTACAAACTTAGTAAAGAGGAACGAATATAAGTTGTTTTGATGGTGGGAACTCGCAGTCAGCGAGATGCTGGCGAAAAGTTTAACAGGCTGCATCCAGACTTCTCATCAATCGCAATCAACGATCTAAATGCAGCATCTTAAACTTTTTGGCAACTTTACGCTGACTGAGAATCTTCACTATTAAATTAACTTGAATTTATTCTTCCTTATTCAGAGCCAAGCTTTTCCTGTAAAAAAAAAAAAAACAAAGACCAAAATAATTTCTATGGTTCCACTTATGGGACACCCTATATAAGATTGCCTATTCTTTCAAATTAGTTTGCTATACACAAATTATTTCTGCTGAAGTGCGTTAAATTTAACTCTTGCTTGTAGTATAAGTTAAATAAATTATGGTCATTTAACTTCTTTATCACGCTAAATTAGGATGTCATAGAACATTATGTAATTTTAATTGTTTTATCTTAAAACATAAAGGTAAAATTTCTTGCAAAATAATAATATAAGCACCAATTTCTGTATTTTTAATTTTTAAATTTATATTATAATTTTTATTTTCGAAATTTTAAATTTTATATATGAAATACATAGGTTCAGATTTCAATATTTTTTATCAAGATCTTATAATTTGTTAATCTTCTATTAGAATTGAGGTTAAAATTCATTGTAAAGCTAAAAAGTTTGGTCAATTAACATTAACCAAATTATATTAAAGATGTATTAACAAATATTATGATTAAAGTTGTACTTTCTGATAAACTTCGTAATATCAATAATTAGTTGTAATAATTACCATCCACTTTTATTAATAGTAAGATGGAAACGAGAGAGTAAAATTGAACAAATAATAATATATTAAGATATTTATAATACATACTTGAATTATATTATACTATACATTTTCTATGAATTTGCATATTATTATAGTATTTACCACAAACAGAATGGCCCTCGTATGGTAGATCTTGAATGTGTATCACTCTTCCTCCATAGCTAAGCAACAAAACTAGAATAGAAATTTCGAAAATTCTTCACATCGTGTGACATTTTATAAATAACAGATTATAACAGTTTGAATAGATCTTATAGTTTTTTAATATACGATCTATATAGGGTCATCGAGAGCTTGTATGGGCCCTGGGGTAAAGTGAGTTCTTTTTGCCTCTTCGTTGATCCTTTTAGCCATCTACTTTTTTCTTGAAAAATGAGATACGTCAAATGTTACTTTATTAATAAAAAGCAGTCTTAAATATTTTATTTACAGTTAGCAAAAATTAACATTACTTTTGTATGTGTAGGAACCACTACGGGCTTCTATGTTTTTTCTGGGTCGAGAAAAAATCCCCAGCTCCTCCCTCTCGATGGACCCGCTTCTATTCTATTCTTCTTCTAAGTTCTATTTCGTATTGAACAAGGAACTATTTCCTTTTACGTATGTGTACTAATGAACATGGCTCTATTTTTATTCTGGGGTAAACTATAAATCATTTTATTTTAAGACTTTCCAGAAGAGATGTTTTTTTTCGAATGTGTATGGCCCGTCAATCACCAGTTACTCTCATTGTAGCCTGGCGAAAGCTATAATGGTTATGGTTAAAACGACCGTTTTATTGTTTGCAGGACGAATAGTCTTTGAAAAAATGAAAGAATCTTTTCTAAAATGTACTTAAATTATTTTTTACATTTAAGATATAATTTTTATTATAAATCCCAATCAAAATATCATTGAAATAAAGTGAAAACTATAAATAACATATATATATATTGTAGAGCCTACGTAACAAGTGGCCAAAATCCTGTCACACTAAGAGCCATATATCGCCTATCAGAAATACGCAAGAGTCACATTCTGTATTGAAACGGTATATTATATTACTGTATTTCCTGTAATAATCGCCCACGTAAATATTCTTGTAATAACCAGCCATCTAACTTCTATTGTAAGGTTGACCTAAATACCGATATATTAGATTATATCGAATTAACTATGAATGCAATGTTTTCTAATATCGAATTGAGAAAAACGAATACCAGCTAATATCGTTATCGATGTTCGATATTAATTCCCAATATCATAAATTTCAAGTACTTCATTCAAATTACCTTTTATATATATATATATTCCGATTTAACTAGTTTTACATTACTTGTTACATTAGTTTGACGTCTTTTTTGTAATCGTGCTTTCTTTCCTTCTTACATCTTATTGAAGTATTCTTAAAACCTATTGAATTATTGGAATATAAAAAGATAAAAAGGGATGTAATATGAAAGGAATATTTCATATTTCCTATAAATATATTATAGGAATTATATTTTATATTTCTTTTATAGTAAATACGGCATATACAAGTATAATTAGAATACTATAGTTATCACTGTTACTTTATTGGTGCTTTATGACCGGATAGGTAAACATTTGTTTAACTTCTTCGACTTTACGTAGTCTTAGCTTTTAGTTGCCCATTCAGGGTTTTTAAGTTGCGAATTACACTTACAATTCCTAATTCCTGTGTATGTCACGCTACATAATAGTTAATTAAACTTGCAAAAATATTACATATAAGTAGGCCTATACTCGAGCTGCAGTTTGATTATCGTGGTTCCATAATATACAAAAAAAAAAAAGATTCAATTAGAATGTTTAAAACATTTACTTTATTGTTGGAATTCTTAGATATATAAGTTATATAAAAAGAAGTCTCAAATTTTGATAATTTTTTCTATAAATCCGAATACAAGAATAAATATAATTGTTATTTGTAAAATATTCAAACAAATACAGGGCGTTAAATTTTCCCGAACGAGTTACTATCACCTTGTTACATAATGTTGTAGTTATCAATACCTTATAAGTACTGTACATTAAAAAGATCTTGAAAATTTTATGAAATCAAGCTTTGTAAATAGAACCGACACCATAATTTTAACATTTAAATACTACAAAAAAGTTCGAAAATAAGTCAACATCATTAACATAAAACAGGTGACGTTAAACATTTTAATTAGCTCATGACAATAAAAACGTTTGTTTAAACAACATTTTTAAAAAATATTTCATACTCTTATTCTATTTACTATTCCATATCTTCTAGTTAATGATAGTTTTTATACAAATCGAATATGAATGTAGTTATCATTGTCTCATTAATAAAGGGTTTAATACACTTAATTGTTAAGGATTTTTTACACCGTCTATATTTTATCAAGCAATTAATTTATTTCTTTCAGCTGGTACTAAGAATTATGAAAATCTCATACAATATATAGTAAAAGTTGAATGAACTTTTACTATACTGTATCGCATATATATATCTCCATTTGGGTCGAAAAAAACAGAAATTTTTTGGGAGGTTGATCCGTGCAGGTTATGTCGGGCCCATTCTCTTATCATCGGCCATCCTACTGTATATATATAAGAATAATTAATAATATTTAACTTTTTAATCGTAAATAAGGGTACAATTATACTATTATTAATTTCTAAATAATTAATGATTATATTTTTAGGGTTTTAANTAATATTACCGATATGTCATCGAAAAGAAAACGTGTTGTATTATCATTAAAAGACAAATCAAAGTATTTGTTTCGATTATCCGGATTTTTCCTTATCCGGACTACCTTCATCCCCAATTAGTCCGGATAATCGAGGTTCTACTGTATTTTGTTAAATATTGCATGAGTTTTATTTTTAAAATTTGATATTAATAGATGTTTCTGATGTATTTTTTAGGCCAAATGAAATAAAGGTATACAACAATACTTCAAACAATTGCATTACATGGGATTGTGTCTACAGATATGTTTTTCCGCTATTTTCGGTATATCCTCCTTTAGAAGTGTTCCGAATACCTGGAGGTGATTGTACAACGAATCGTTTATGGAATTCTTTTCGAAATATTATAGATCACTACATTCCTGCGCTTATATACGACCTCATATCGTATATGATGGGGAAAAAGCCCATGTAAGTTTAAAAAATGCGGTACTATATTGAATAATCTATTATAACGTGCAAGCAGATAATCATGTAAAAATTGAATGCATAAATCAGTTTATTCTCCTGTTTCTCATAGAGAAAAAAGCACGCCGTGTTCTAAAAAATGGCATAAAATCTTTTGTAATATTCAAGATGACTTTGCAAATCTTATAGCTTGGTGGAAGACGATGGCACAAAACTTTTTTAATTTCTACGTTTTTGCGTAGATTAACTATTTATTAATTCATTGATCAATAGTAAATACCAACAACAGACAACCAAGTTATAAACAAATATTCAAGATTTATAAAAATATTTATATATTGATGATGATAATGTACTTGATAATGTACATAATTGACTTCAATATTATGAGTACCGTATTTCCATACCGCGCTTCATCTATAAAATCATGCTCTTATATCCGCGTATAAAAGCAATAAGAAGTAAAATCGTCTCTGCATTCTGCAAAGTACCTAAAAAAACTCGCTATTTAAAAAAGTTTTATGGTATTGGAAGAAGTTTTTATTTTTGCTTTTTGTTCTTAATAAAAAATAGATGTCACTGAATAGTTACTTTATTAGTACATTTATATTTAATTTACATTGACACAGTGCTGCAGCGCTTTATAAGCCAAAACAAGCTAACACACATGCGAACATGCGGGTATTTGCGTGGAAAAACAGTATTTTATTGGACAATATTTTAATTAAAATACTTTTTCATTTTTATTTTTTATTAATGTTTTAAATACAAACAATTTATAGATTAATAATTTATAGATTTTATTATCCATTCTCATTAGCCAGCTGTGACAATAACTGAGAATGCATAATAAGGTCCACTGACCCACGGCATGAGCCAAAGATGATAAACAAGGATTAACAGTTCTATCAGTTCCAAATCCACTCTCCAACAAAGCTGAAGACAAGAAAAGAAAAAACATTGGAGAGAGCAACCAAAAACTCATATTTATCCAAGGAAAAGGCATATCAGGAACATTCAACATAAGAGACACTAATCAATTCACAAAATCTCCAATCATAATAGGCATAATAAAAAAAAATATATAATAAAAGCGTGTACTGTAACAAATATATTATAAAAATGGCTTTTCCAATCAAGGAACCAGGCGTCTCAATTTCTCCCTGCTTATACCAGCGATCTTACTTGTACATATTGTTACTCATCAATGTTTGGATAAGATCACTGATCACTAGAAGTCGGTTACGGGTTTGCACCGGACCATCAGGCTGGCAACTGAAGATTTTTGGATTTTATTCAAACAAACAAACAAAATGAATATATCTTCAGTACTTTTGGAATGAAAATGGTGCAATGAAATGGTGCAATGTTGACTCACTTCGTGTATACTTAAATTTCCATATAAAGTTCAATATTATAATTTAAACATTATTCATAACAGACAATTAATTTAAAATATATAAAATTGTAATTAAATTGTCTTCTACATTTATCAATCTTTATTCTTTATTATTTTTTGAAATTTCAATTATTCTGTTAATTGAAATCTTTCAATCCATTCGTTTTTCATAAATAGGTTTAAAGAATTATAAATTAAGATAAAAAATTTAGTATTTAGTGTGTTATACTTGTATAATAATTTTATAGAGATCTGGCATAGTTAATAATTATTATACGAATTCAAAATTATAATTTCTTATAGGATGATCAATCTTTACCGAAAATTATCAAAAGCACTGGATTCTTTGGAATATTTTGCAACAAATGAATGGAAGTTTCGATGCGATAATACTCAAAAATTAGCAGAAATATTATCTATTGAAGATCGTCAGGTAAGAAAAGTGTTGGATATTTATTTTTTATTAACTCTATGGGTATTAAGAATGAATTTTATTCGTGTCCATTTTGAGTTTTGACTGGCCCATAATGGGACAGTCGAATGACAGGGGATGGGACTCGATAAATCCGTTCTAGAGCGAAAGCTTCTTAAATATTTTCCATTAGCAATCTCATTTTTTGCTCAAGAACATTTTATCCGATCCGGATATCGCGACTCCGGATATGTAGATACAGAACAAAAAATAAATTTGCAAGTCAAACATTACTGGTAATAGTTTAAATCAGTGCTTCTCAAACTTTTTTGCATCACTGCTTCCTTGGTTGTGACTGTTAGTAGTAGCGGCCCCTATTCTGTGTTCACAGGGGCCCTACTATCATGCATAACACCCCCTTGGAAAATTAAAACGTCTCCAGGGGAACCCTCACTTTGAGAAGCACCGATTTAAATCAAAGAAAGTTAATTTCAAACAATTCTTTGTTATAATTTTACCACTTATCACTTATTAGGCCAAAAGCAAATTTGCAATCTAGTGAGATGGATGTGATTATTTATTTTTACATAAAGAATCTTGGCTGAATATTTGATATTGCAGGATGCTGGATATCTTCAACTTTTTTTTAGAGTTGATCATTTTTTGATTTTACATTCTTCTATGATGAAAACGAAAAAATAACACAAATATAGCAAAAAGCATAATGGATAAATTATATGATAATAAAAATTTAAATAATACCGTTCAACCTACTTCAACACAATGATAATTGTAGAGATATTAAGTATGATTTTTTCCTTCTTTTGAAAAAGGAAATAATATTCGAAATAATATTACAGCTTTCCCTTGATAGTCCGACGTTTTTTAATCCGACATGCTCAGTAGTCCGACGCACCTCCCGTCAAGGTACCCGTCTCCGTTACGTGTCTGTTGCACAGAAGCATGTCGCGACGTGAATCTCCCCATCCAATTCTTACACGATGACACACATTTCGTGTGTTTTCCGTTAGCAGTTCTGTTCGAACAGTTGGAGTAGGGAATATTGTAAGCTACTGCTAGCAAAACAACGCAAAATATGTAATTATTTTCGGTAATCCGGACACTTTTGGTAATCCAACACCCTTTGGTCCCATACCTGTCGGACTATTAAGGGAGAGCTGTAATTTTAAAACATATTTAAATACTTTAAATATTCCATAAATTAACTCCTGGTTCTCCTAGTCACAATGTAGAATCCAAGGATGTGCAAATTTTATTCCTACGTGCTACGCTATGGCAAGAAAATTTTATTAGACTTTTCATTTTCGGCAATTAAACTATTATGTTTCTGTAAGTGCACAAAATTTTGATGGTGTTACCTCACACAATGGCATGTACAATGCAAACTTTGAAAAGAGTAAATGACAGTAGAATGAGATTGAATAGGGGAATAGATTTAATTGAATAAATAGTAACAGGTCACAGCGAGAAAAGATGTACGAATGCTTTATTTCTCTGCTATGTATCTATAATGTAATTTTTAATTTAATTAAATATTTTAAATCAAAATGGTTTTCGTAATTATTCGAGGCAAGAGGAACATTTCAGGTTGAAGTGACATCCTTGGCGAATAGTTGCCAAAGTTTACGCGACCCTCCAAATTCTATTATGTGACCCCATATGTGATCGCGACTTAGGCCTATAGTTTACGAATTCCTGCTATAGACCAATAGTTCCCAAAGTGGGCGCATTCGCTTCCTTGGGGGCGGCAGGGGCTCCTGGAATCAGTCCTGAACTGTTCCTTTCATCCATTAAAAGAGGTAAGAAGAAACATTGCGTTTAATGGTTTCTAAACATGAAGAACAACATACGGTAAGGACATAAAGTGTGATGTTATAGAAAAGTTTTTTAAAGAATATTTCCAAACATTTCTCACACAAGGAGAAACGGGATAGGGGTGCTGGGTATATGTTTATGGAACCAATGAGGCGGTGGCTCAAAAAAGTTTGGGAATCACTGCTGTAGACCATTCAAAATTTTTGACAATCTAACCGAAACCCGAAACCAGTGCCTTCAAAATGGCAAGTAAACATTAAAAAAAATTATTAAAATTTTACTTTAATATTAAGGGTAATTTTAATGATTTTTTAAGAACATTTGAACTGATTTTTATTTGGACTATTGATATTTATTATCAACTCTATTTAAAATTATAATACATTATTGTAGTATGATAGCAATATGAAGAGGAAGATAACTAAATTAGTAATCGTTATATATTATTTTAAAATTTATTAAGATATTTATTTAAAAATCTCACAAATTATTTTTACATTGATCATTTTTAATTGAAGATTATACATGTTTTTGGAGGTTAATTTAATTGCTTTTATTTAAGAATTTTTAGCGAAAGAAACGAGCAATTAACAACTATAGAGAAATCCATCGCTTCTATAATATTTAGTCTCGAAACAATATTAAGTTAAACTATAATTACTATTACTTTTTATTTTAAAAAAGAACAACAATAATAATTATGTTGCGAGAGTTGTAGGACTTAACAGTGGATTCTAATTTATATATATTCAGTCATCATGTATAATATTTTCCTATATGACAATATTGAAAATCTATTGAAAATCTGATGGCTGGATGGTCGAGATTGAGAACTCGTCACCCTATCGTTCTAGGGGTTCCAGAATCGAATTCGGGAGGTCGAAGAACTCGAGATTTTTTCTGGTGTTCTAACCCGTGTGATTTTAAAAAGAATGATTTATAGTTTATACAGGGCCTGTTGCAAATTTGGCATCCTTGAAAGACACTAGTACACAGAGTTTGTTAGGATCAGCTACTGAATACACGAGTTTTGTGTTTCAATGAATATTTCGGAATAAAATGCTTCTTTCACTATTGTGGATTTGTTATTAGGAACTAATCATAGGAGGGCTGTTCGTTGCCTTCAGGTTTAAAATATTCAGAACTGGGGTACATTGAGCAATATCTACAAAGATCATTGAGCAATATCCACAAAGATCATTGAAAGCTTTGTACAAATAAAATGTTTATTGCTTGCAGCGCCAAAAGTGCCGTAGTGGTAAATTTTTGTAGAATTTTTTTTTTTTTCAAAAATGTTTTCACATGACCTGAAATGTCACATACTAAATTTTGGACTAATTGGACTAATAAATATTTCCGTAGACAACATTGAATAGGGGGTATTTTAATTACGATCAGCCGGTGTATTGATAGCACAAGTAAACAGCTATTAATGGTAAAATAAATATGCCTGTAGCCTACGAGGCAATTTTTTCAGCAGACATTTAATGATCTTCAAAGTAAGTATAATTCAAGATTAAGTCATCTTCGTGAATATCTATTATGAATCGATTTTCAATATATTTCCCTATTTTTCACTAAAATAAGTGATGAAAAATAATTTATAATTAGCGAAAAGTCTTTGAATAAACGAATTTATAAATGAACATGTGTTTCACCTCTATTTATTCTACAAAAGTAGTAAACCGTTCGGTACTTATTAATAGATAATACAACTCAACAAACGGATCATCTGCCAAGAAGAAAGTGCCTCCGGGGAGGATTTTCAATGGGAAACTAGCGTTTGTTTAGGTGCTACACATGAAGAAAATCTGGAAAACTTCACGTAGTCAGTTTGTGGTCAGACGCGAACTCGGACCAACTACCAATGTTCAGAGGTTTTATCCATTCGCCAGTGATAAAGCGTAATTGAGAATGCAGAGATTAAAAAACATTGATTTTTAAAAATCTCTGCATAATATAATAATGATAAATTAAGGCAATCGTTTATGTTTCTTTTGGAAGAATGATCATTATAAATAATCATTATATAAATAATTTTAATGTTTGGTGAAATTGATTTGCTTAAAATTAATTGTATAATTGTATATAATAGTATTTTGTATAATATTTTTTTAAGACGATGATTTTCACTATTATAAAATGAGATATAAATGACAATATAAATTTGTCTTATATAAGTTACCATCTATATTAATAATAAATAGATTTTGATCTAGTACTGAGATAGGTTAAATTAATAAACAAACTGAGAAATTCTTATCAGTGACCGAATGGATGACATCACTGAATACTGGTTCTGTTGGTCACGGGTTCACGCATCATCAACGAGCTGACCGCGTAGGAGTTTTCCGTGTTTTCTTCACGTGTCAAATTCCTACATAGGATCTAGTTTCCCATAGAAAGTTCTCTCGGGAAGAACCCCACTTTGGCAGATCTCCCATGTGTCTCGTTGTCTTAATTTGGGAAGAACAAAAGTGAAAAAGATGATAAATGAGATGAAGAATAAAAATAATCTGAATGGCTTGATTCTACAATCTCATTTAATTTCTGTAAAAAATGTGATGAATAAATTGTTTCTTACTCAAATTATAAATGCGAAGTAACTAAATAGAACAATGTAGCTGTATAAACGTTGTTCAACAAGTGTAGCTGTATTAAACGTTGTTCGTTTTTCACAAATTCAGGTAATTTGCCTTTAAAAACGTATTAATATAGCTTGAACATATTTATTTTTTGTTATGACATTATACTATATTACATAATACAGTATATAACTTATTATGATGTATTGTTTTTTAAATTATTTATTCTTATACCCTAGTATGTCCTAGAGATACAATTTCACCATGACTAGGATAAGTTTTAAAACTTAAAATTATTATACAGAACATGTTTGACATGGATAATCTTCTCTACAGGATATCTAAATTAAGTATTCTTCACATATTATTTGGGTGGAGAAACAACAACATTAAATTATATAAGACATGTGTAAAAAATGCTTAATCATCTAAAATCTCTCGGAAGAATTTAGGTTAGATGAAATTTGATAAGACAGAAATATTTTTAAAGATTACAGAGTTTTTTTGGTCTCTTTCTGTCACCAAGAAGGCCTTTTTAATCATATCCAGGGCTCACAATGAGACTACTGGGTGATGGACAGAGCCCGAGGCACGTCGGCCATCCGGCTATGAGCAATGACAGTTAATGAATGATTTTATAAATTTTACTTATGATTTTAAGCTTAAATTAGTAATTTATTTTTAAAACAATTGTAATTATCAATTATTTAGAATTTACATAAAATTAAAGATTTAAACATTTCACTTGATTATAATTCTAGACATTTTGTTTCGATACAACGAATCTAAACTGGCTGACTTACTGGGAAGAATCCATTTTAGGAATTAGAAAATATTTGTTTAGAGAAGATCATGCTTCACTTCCATTGGCAAGAAAAGGCATTAAACGGTAATATATTTATAAATATATATTATTTTTAAAGTAAAAAAATATATTTCTAACTTATAAATATATTTTCAGATTATATTATATTGGAGTTACTGTCAGGATAATGGTAATGCTCGGATTATTTTATTTTGTATTTGGACGCTGGGATGGATTTACAGAATTTTGGAAAATTATTTTTGCTTTTCCCAAATTATTTGAAATATAAAAATTAATTTCTATTAAAAATTCACGTATTAAATAATAATTATTATTGAAAATACGGAAAAGATAGCTGTATATATGTCAGCGTTTTTCTAACACGGATTTTCGTTTATATAGCAGGATGATACGTAAAATATTTTTTATATATACATGTATTTTATAACGATTATTATGTACATTCGTTATTATCTGATTTATATGAATTATATTTATTTTTATATATATCTGAACGAATAAATTCTTTAAAATAAATTTATGTGTGTTTAATTTTTTGAGTACTTTTAAGAAGAATATTATAATGAATGAAAAATTATAGGATCAGAAAGAGGCCCTCCTTATTTTCTATACACTTTAAGGTGAGAAGGGAGCGCAAATAGTACATCTTTGTACTCGATGGAGAGGAAGGGGGTTAGGAAATACTGCCTGGACTTTTTTAGTGGTCCTTTTTTTGTCCTTATAGATTACTTATTAGCCACATGAGTAAATTATCAGAGAATATTTGTAGAACTTTTAAAGTAATTTCTTCAATATCAAGGTTCATGAACTATCGTATTCGTAATTAAAGATGGGTTAGCCAAACAAGGAGGGAGGAATCAAAAGTAGCTCAAAAACTGTATACGTAATTAATAGACAGCTCCAAGCTAACTCTGTTAAATTGTATTTATTTGGATTTTTCTCGAACAGATACAAAATATTATAGAAAATCACAAAGCTCTTTCTTTTACTTTTTTGAAATATAAAGTACTGTACATGACACTATATTGATGAGTTGTCTGGTAAAACGGATTTTAATACAGCTTTATAAGTAAACCAATGACACAACTCTGCATTTGAAACGAACTATGTCATTGGCTTGCTTAGCCAGCTGTATTGCCCACCAGTGGCCAAGCGTTCTTCATACCCTGAACACTGGGAGTTTGGTCTTGGGTTCACGCCTCGCTCGGACGGGCTGGCCACGTGGAGTTTTCCGGGTTTTCCCTACGTCTGTAACGCCTAAATAGGGGCCAATTTCCCTTAAAAAGACCTCCCGGAAGGCATCACCGGGCAGGTCGCCCAAGTGTTGCATTGCCATAACTTAACAAACAACATCCAGCTTTATTAAAGCCACTTTACTAGACAACGTTCCCCTTGTTTAGAGGTCATCGCTCGAACTGGAATTTCTATTGAAATTTATTATTGTATTATATAATATTAACATTTATTTTTATTTTTTCGCTTTAATTAAATATATTTAATTTAATGATGAATACAAATAAATATATTAAAATAATTTCTTTCATTATTACACTTTTAAAGTCTCTACCCGTATATAAATCTTAATATGAAATAGGAAAATTTAATCTATAGTTTTATAATATTAATAGAAACACGTTAATTTATTTCACATTAATCAGCTTTTTCACCATAAAATATTAAATGGATTCCTTTATAGTCTTTCCCATAATAAGAATGAATTCAATGTTAATCTACAAACGCAAAGGACAATATTGTAGTTTATGTTCATTCTGAAGTAAAACAATATAGCAGACTTTTCGTTAACTGAAACTCAAGCAAACTGAAAACGAGCAATTATTTATTGTGACATGGTCACAATGCCGCGCTAAAATTTTTAATTTATTTAATTTAAAATATAGTGGGTGATCGGTTAACGAACATAATCCGTTTCAAGACTTTGTTCGCTATCTCAATTGTTCGTTAACCGATTATCATTTATCATAGGGTTTTATGGGAATGTGATTAACCCTTGTGGAGATTCCTAAAATAAAAAAAATAAAAAACATATGCTTTCTTACTAAGTTTATTTATGTGTGATAATAAAAAATATATATATACATAGTCTTGCATTTTTATTAGTCATGTTTTTTTTCCGTTTTGTAGGGATTAAAGAATCTATCTAATGCCGATCGCTTTCCTCTCTTCTTCAGGATTTTCCAGAAGTAATTAATAGCATTGTAATTTTAGAGTCTATTAACATCAATCTGGTTTGAATGCCATTCTAAGTTGTTCTGACAACTTCCCACTTCTTCGAAAGATTTTTAATAGCAGATAGCATCATTAATCCTCTTTTTTCATAAGAAAACATATTTTTCCGAGTTTCTTGGTGTTCATTCAAGAGTTCTTGGTGTTCTTCTGTAGTCAGATCAGTTTCAGGTTCCATTATGAGCTCTTCAATGTTCTTTATTTCTCATATGTGATTTTTGTTACTCCTTAAGCTGCTTGAGTCTTCTTGATTATATCTTTCTTAGCTAAGATTATTCCTACTGTAGACCTATTCAAGCCATACTGCCCAGCAACATCAGACATCTGCCCACCTTTGCTATTATAATCTCACCTTTCGAAAATAAAAATCCACGCAAACCTTAACGAGTGCCCGCCCGACAGTCTCGCGAATACTATAAAAGAATTATTTCTGTCAGAAAAATAAAAGGCTGGAGTTACAACGGAGAGTTTCAAAGTTCGGAGGAATACTATCCGATCAGTATATACCGGGTTGAGCGTCGATGTCGACGTCTCCCGCGCTTGGAAACTTTTCGGAGTGCGGGAGACGTCGAACCAAGACAAGGAAAGCCAATCAGTATTCATTATTTTACGTCGCTTCTTTTTGCGTTTGTTCTGTGAGGCGTTCGTTGTCCGAACATAAAAATCTTTCGCCAAAGTGTACTTGGTCTTGTCTTCCATCTGTCTAGATCTGTCCTATCGGAAAGACGGACGGACGGACGACAGTGGGAATTTATAGGTCTACAATTTTTTCAAATTGTAGCCCAATTAAAATAAAATCGATTTTTGGCGGAAATATCAATATAAGTTTAAACTTGATGCGCCGCGCTGTGAGTAAGCTTATGATTCACACACGTTTGTCTTCTACTCTCACCGATTCAATGGTGGAAAAAGTATCCTGGCAGAGAGCTATCGCAGCATTTGAAACTGTGATAACTTTTGCAGAACAGCAACCCTTCTTCACTTTTCAGCATGTTATTCAGTAGCACATCATGCAAAACCTGACTTTGCATGAGAGGCGTAGGGCCTCTCAAGGAAGTTAATATTCGTTCATTTTTCAATAAAGCTGCATTCAAGTTTGTCAGTGCAGCGTCATCTACTGATGTATTCTAGAACTATATCCAGTTAATGGTTGGGGAACGAGATTGTATCGTGGAGCTGCAGAACCCCGGTTTGTTGATGCACACAGTTGCCACAAGGAGAGTATCATCCAGCGACGAAGTGTAATACGATGGGCGCAGGAACATCTGCAACACGTCGAAGAGGGAATGAATTTCACTGGCGCACGACAGAGCACACAGACTGGCAGATTCGCCGAACGGCCACAATACGTAACATACGATGCCGCCTTTCGCCGTAAACGAGTGCATCTGTGTCCACTCAAACCATTCGTAACAGATTGCATGAAGTCGGGCTGCACTCACGGCAACCATAAACGAGGTGCCATTAACTGCTTGACACAGGGCTGCACTCCTCGCATGGTGCGGTCGTCATCGCAACTGGACCACGAATGGCAGCGAATATTGTTTACGGATGAATCCCGCTTCTGTCTGTGGAGGAATGACAGTAATGGATGGGTGTGGCGGTATCCCTGGGAATAGCAAAATTTTAAAATATTTTTAACCACATAAAAAAATAATCAAATTATTTCTTTACAAGTAAAGATGCAGCTATTCTTTTTTTAATAACAGAGTATTCTTCCAGTAAAGAAGCAAAGTAATTTATCATGCCAAGGGGATCAAAGTATGACTTTAAACGTAGATTCAAATTCTAATCATCTTCCATCTTCCAGTTGTGATAGTAAAAGTTACAGAAAAAAAAGCAGTCCGTTTTCTGTAACAGTTCTTTTAAATATGAAACTGGAATTACATGAATTTTTACATAATTTTAAGTTTGTTCTCAATGAAAAAATTTCTGGCAAATGTTGACCTACAAATGTTGTCCGTGAAATACTAGGGTCGACTTTTACACGGGATCTATTAAAAATTCCAGATTTTTTGGCCAAAAATAGGGGTCGACTATTACTCGAGTATATACAGCATTTGTTTCTTTTATATTTTTAAACTCAACATTAACAATCAGTGAAAGATTACTAGTTTTATTTCAAAAATATTTTTTAATATTTTCAAGATTAATAAAAAAGGTAAATGCAATTGTACAGCTATTAATTTTTATTTAGTTTTGTCGCCATCTATGGATGTAAAAAAGTACTACAAAGTAAAGTAATACAGTACGCACTTTATTAAACTACAGTATAATTACTAGATTTGCTAATAGATTTCAATAAAATGGCCAATTCCCAAATTGTCAATCTTATCAGAGAACTCTATAATCGTTAGAAAGGTCATTTTCGTGAAATCTTTGTTACATGCTCGGAGGGTGTAGTTATTTCTTTTTTATAGAGTGGTAAAAATGGCCCTTTTCGTCAACCTTGAAAATTATTTTCATAGTTAATAGAAGGAATTCCATCCAGGGACTCGCGTACATTGGATCTTGGGCACATGGCCCTAAGATCCAATGCACGCGATCCCTTTTCCTAATCCCAAGGGTGCCCCAAATTCTATAATCAACAAACAACAGAAAATTCACGACTTCTAGCCGATTTCACGAATATAATGAACAATATTTGTCCATGGTCCCATGCAATTCAGTCGTATGTTCACCAAAGCAACAATTGAAGACACGGAAACATGCCTTGTTTTCAACTGTTGATTGCAATTGAAGGTTGAATCATGAATCACGCTCTATATATAATTTGTTATAATGTTATAAGTTAAAACATTATTTAATTCAGAAGTAAGAAAAAAAAACTACAAAGATATTGTTTTATTTCACGTAGTAGCACTAGATACGAAAATAAAAATCATAAATACGTTATTTTCATCTCCAGCTTCTATTTAATGATACACAGTGTTGGTCCGGTATTCGGAATTCAGTTCAGCTTAAGATCTGAAATTTGGTATATTCGTAAAATTTTTTTGAGGTTTTAGGCCATTTTCCGCTCAGAGAGCACTAAAAAGCAAAGATATTCGTATAGTGTCACATGCAGTGAAGTGCCGTCATTGGAAGCTGTGGATGCGCCGCTTCCCTTGCATTTTCTAAAAAATAAATACATATTCATTTTAATTATATGAAAATAATCGAACAATATTTTATTATAACCGCATTACATATCTTATTACAAATTTCTATACTACA